GGGGTCGTGAGCCGCCAATGGAGATCTGGCTGGGCCAGTTTCCGACCCGCATACGGTTCGCAGCATGCTGACCTTTGCACACCTCTCTCTGAGGTGAAGTGTCCAACCCCTCGCCACAACACAGCTGAGAGAATCGAGGATCTACGTCTGAGAAGTGTGGTTCGAGGAGCTTTCGACGCTAAACTGCAGCCGATTTGAGGCTAGAACATTTGCTTGTAATCGGAATCGCAACAGGATGCAGTTCTGAGGCTGCGGAGCTGTGAAGTTCCACGCTGTAACACTTCACAGCTCCGCAGCCTCGCATCCTGTTGCGATTCCTCCCTCGCAAATGTTCTGGCCTTAAAATCGGCTGCAGCGATGCTCCTGTGAGACCTGAAACTGTTCACTTTTTGCATATCGTGAACATGTGCGCGTATGCACGTCGCGTTTTTGGCAGTGAGGGCGTCCTCCCACTCAACATGGTCGGTGCAATGGGAGACCGCCCATTGGCCGCGTGTTTGCGCAAGCCTGTGTGAGCACTACCAAGGGCAGCCTCCACCTCCCACTTCTGCCAATCAATATGTGGTGACCAATGGTCCGCAGCATCGTCTTGCCTGTTTGCGCATCCTTGGAGGATGCGCTGGTGGTTGTTTTCCTTCACGCTGACGTGTGTTGCGCAGCTTTTCGCCGGTTTGGTTTCACCTTCGCTCTGGCCTTTTGCTTTGCTTTTCTTCTCCTTTTTTGGTTCGGCTTTTTGGTGTGTTGCCTTGTTTCGTGTTGATGATCGGCCGGGAGTCGAGATGGCGCGAGCTGACCACCGTGATGAGGCTCTTAGTTTCGCCGAAGGCATGTTGGGAGAGGCCCAATACAGGACTGCCTCTGTGCGCTTCCAAAGTTCGCTACCGATGCGAAGTTCCCAGCGAATGGACCAGACAGCATTGGTGCCGGTATTTCAGGGCTCTTGCAGAAGCCGGGAGCAGATCCCGTGGCGATCCATTATCGTTACGATGGAGCTTCGTGCTTACAAGGAGCTTGGTGGTACCGATGCGTTAAGTTGTCTTGCAATAAGGGCCTCTGCGCTAGCGGTTGCTTCTTTGTAGTCACGACTTCTCTTACGCTCGCTGGCTTGTACAGTTTGACTCTCAAAGTAGCTGTTTGTTTCAGCCTGCGCCTACAGGTGTCGGAGGCAAGACCCGTTTAGCCTTCAACAGAAGCCTTTTGCTGTCATCGTGCCTTCAGGCGCCCCTATCGGAACACTGAATTAACAGTAAATCAGGCACAGGCTAGTGTTGGCAAAACGTCAATTGGAAGACGGTTTCCTGGTTTTGCGTGGAATCGATAGGCAGAAGCCACGTTCGTGGAGAGACACTTCGACAGCCACAGATCAATCCTTTCTACCGGCTCCTCTACTTCAGGCTCCGTATCGGAGCTCGCCGCCTTCTGCTTTCAGGCGTTGCCGATGCGTCCAACCAAGCGGGGAACACTGGGAATACCCGAAAATGCTGAAAGGCAACCCAGCCAGATGATATGCCGCCATGTATGATCAACGTGGTTTTCCGCAACCTTGCGGCGCACAGGAAATGTGCGACGCCTTGGCCCAGTTTTCCAACGATGGGCTCAAGCCTCCGATGTACAACTCCGTGCTTGCTTGCAGGCTGCCCCGGTGCCCCGGTATGGGTCAGACCTCGCAAGCCCTGCCATTCCACAATAGCGGGAGCATAGTTTTTCCGGACAGGACATGTGTTGAGGTTGTTGGAGCGATGTTTGGATGCTGAAGATGAGAAGAAGCAGGAAGCTGCACGAGCAGCCACACCCAATCCATTTGGGAGAACAAGACGATGTCGAAGTAGTCCCACGGTGTGTGTCTTGCTCAAAGAGAGAGCGCAGCTTCGCAAAATGCGGTTCAGCTGATTGTTGCACTTGCCAAGTAAAGCAAAATCTCCCTCTTCGCTGTTCATAAGAGCGCAATGTGCGCGCATAACCGGGTGTTTATTTGGTTGAACCCTTGTCGAGCGTCCTTCTTCTCACCTTTGTCACAAACGCAAACCAGTCATGTCCAAAGCTTTGAGCGCAAGAAAGGTCAAGCAGCGCTCACTGCCACTGGCGACCAGGCATTAGGCTTCAGAAGACCATCAGCTCGCTGGAGACTTGGATAAGACTCAGGAGGAGCTGGAGAAGGGCTGGATCAGTGAACCCGTTTGTCCAAGTGAACTTCCGGCAGATTACCCCTTGGCAAGGAGGTGGCATTAAACAAAAGAAAGGGAAGATTGGACTAATAGATGATTTCTCATGCTGTCTCACAAATGCCAGCGCCACTTCCCACGAGAAACCAAATTTGGACACCACTTCGACGTGATGTGTTCAGCGAGTTTGTACTACCATGAAAAACCCATGACCTAAAGGCGGCTTACAAGCAGGTCGGGGTGAAACCTTCGAGTGCAGCTTTTGCTCATGTGTGCGCATTTTCGCCTGAACATGGTAGGCCCATGGCCTTTAGGTGCCTTTAGGTGCCTGGCAATGCTTTTGGATCATGTCAACCAGTTCCAGGGTTCCTTCGTTTGGCAAGAGCTTTCTGGCATATCGCCTGCGTGTCCTTTTTTGTAGTCCACACAAACTTCTTCGACGACTGTGTCCTGATGAGCGAGCAAGTGTTGCGTGAGAGCACATCCAAAGCCTTTGAGGGTCTGCTTGATCTTCTGGGCTGGTCTTTTGACCGAGACGGCCCAAAGCTCACGAGCTTTGGCCGTAGCGTGAATGCGCTGGGCATTACTCTGGACTTCAGTGAAAGCGACAGGTTTTGTTGAGGATTAGGAACACGGAGAGTAGAAGGACGAAACTTGTTGATGACTTAGAGTCCATCTTGGCGAGCGGTCGACTAGGGAAGACACAGGCTGTACAACTCCGTGGTCGTTCAGGATTCGCCGAGAACCAGGTATTCGGTCGGCAGCTCGACAGTCTATGCGCACCCTTGTTGAGCACGCTTCCTTTGCCGGCGGGGAGTTGGTCACAGAAGAACTCAGACTAGCCTTGAGGTCCTTGAAGTCCATGATCGCGCATGGGGCCGACAGACCATACACGTTTGGTGAGCCCCGCCTTACATGAAAACACATTTGTAGCGTGGTGCGTTTTTCGTTGCACACATGAACAGCTGCTCCGCTCGCAACGCCAAGCAAAAAACATGAGATACAAATAAGAACTGTGGCACAAGAATTAAGTGCCTGTCATGAGGAACGAAATGATAGAGCTTCAATTCTAAAGTAGCAAACCAATAAGTGTTTTGTTTGCGAACCACAATTCTTTGTAGCAGGTCTTACTCATGTACTTGTTTGTTCTTGGTCACCTAAGCTTTAGGTGACTCTCACAAAGCTAAGTGCAAACATGTTTATGGATGGTGTTTTGCAAAGGCAGATAAGAGTGACACGTTTCTTGTGCAATTTCGTGCATTTGGTGAACAAGCTCCCCATCATATAGCGGCTGAGGTTTTACACTAGCAAGATGCAGCAAAATGCAGCAAAACAAAGTCCCACCCAACCCGGCCTGGAGTTTCTCTATTCCGGCCAGCTTGTCGCACTTCTTCTTAAGACTTGGAGCCGTAGTAAAAGCCCGGGGCTGGTCGGAGTACGGTGGGTGCAACTATGTACATAGCGATGGGGGGCATGGGCCCATCGCGCTGTGAAGCGGTTAGGAAAGGAAGGTTTCCATGATCTGTTGCTTGATTCAGGCCAAGAGAAACATGGAAGTACATCAATGAGACGCGCGGTCTCAAACTAAGCCCGTGATGTGATCAGGCTACCGCAATGCTTGTAACATGTTTCACGGTTTCACGCTCTTCGTGTTTCACGTTGTGCTGTGATCGGGGAGCAGACGAGATGACTTGAGGTGCAAAGTAGCTCTAACTAAAGTATATCAAGCGAACCTGTTGAAAGAGCTGGGCATCGCAGTCTGGCCGACAGACCATACACGTTTGGTGAGCCCCGCTTTACATGAAAAAACACTTTTGAGTGTGGTGCGTTTTTCGTTGCACACATGAACAGTTGAAGTTTTGAAGAGCTCCGCTCGCAACGCCAAGCAAAGAAACATGAGATACAAATAAGAATTGTGGCCCAAGAATTAATCCCCATAAAGGACAGTTAAAGGACTGTTAGTCTGAGGGGGAACATCCCAACACATGGAAGCTCATCAAGACCCACCGGAGGCCCTTCTCCAAGCGGAACGGCGCGGCAAACTTTCTCCATTACTTTCGTCATGATCCATAAACAGGCATGTTAAAGGTTCCAACGTGTGTACGTCATGATGCTTCAGAATGGGACAGAGGTAAAGGGACCGGAATCCGATAGTTGTGTGTAGTTGGATTTGTTGGATTTGCTTATCTGAAAAAAGCACACTGCCCGGACAGCGCCGCGAGAAAACATCATTTTTTGCAAAAAGGCCGTTGTTCGAGAAGAAGTGGCTTTGCGAGGACACTGCGCGTGCAACGCCACGAGAGAAGGGCCATTTTTTCGCAAACATTGGCTTTTCGAGAAAATTGGCTTTTCGGGAGAAGTGGCTTGTCGAGGACACTGCGCGCCCAGCGCCGTGAGAAAAGGCACCCGCCTTTCGCAAAGATAGCTTTACGAGATGGCTTTTCGAGAGAAGGTGGTTCTCGAGGATACTCCGCACGCAGCGCCGCGCGAAAATCAACACTTTTCGCAAATAAGTGTTTTTCGAGAGAAGTGGCTCTTCCAATGCACTGCGCGCGCAATGCCGCAAGAGAAGTCATTTTCGCACGAAGTCGTTTTTTGGAGAAATGGTGGCAAAATACTGGCTCTGCGAGGACATTTGCATGACTGTTGCATGTTGCCTCATGATGTGGATTTTTCGCAGCGGTTTTTCAGTTTTCGCATTTTTGGCCTTATTGGTCGGTGACCGACCATGAAGCGATCCGGCCGGACCTTGTTGTGGCGACGGTCTCAGATTCGGGAGGGGGACGGTAGCACACCCGAAATGTTCATGAGTTAATTTCGCGATGACATGCCACGTTGATGGTGAGGACTCTGGTCTTCTTGGCCTTCGCGTCCGCAAAGGGATGGTGGTGGCAAGATTTCAAGGACTCCTTGAAGAAAGCGGGAAACGCAATTGCAGACACCTTTGAAGAGATTGGCGTGGCAGTGGGCAGCGCCGCCAGCAACGCAATCATTGTGGTGGAGAACCAGATTGTGGCACCCGTCAAAGCCGCCATCGAAGATGTACCAGCCGAGGTGGTGAATGTGGCAAACCAGATCGGCACCACGGCCGTGCAAGTTGGCCAGTCGGTGGAGGACTTCGGCGAGGTCGTCGCAGAGACGGCTGTCACGCTGGAAGGAGATATCAGAAGCCAGGCAGAGGCCACCATCGCCCAAGGCGTTACGCTTGCCACCAGCATGGCGAACGAAATTGGAAACAAGGTGACCAGCTTGGCCCACAATCTGGGGGACGACATCAAGAAGTTGGGGCCGCTGGTTACAGGCTTCGCACAAGATGCGTGGAACGCCATCGAGGGCTTCCTCAGCTGCGTGGTCAACCAAATTTCCCTGTGTGAAGTGTTGATTGGTGACCAGTGTGACTGCAGCGCTGGAAGCTTTGTGACAGTCACCACAAATGACTTCACGGTGAAGTGTGTCCTGAAGCAAGCATCCGAGTTCACGAGGCTCTTCGAGACCCAAGCCTCCACGGGCCTGATTTCCAAGCTCAAGAACGGCAAGTTGAAGTTGCCTGGCCAGAATGCAGACAAGACCAAGAAGGCCTCCGGAGTTCCGCTGCGGAGCCGCGCTGAGCTGAAGTCGTCGAAGTCCGCAGCACCTGCAGGCTCTTGTGACACCACCTTGGACATGGCCTTCGAAGGAGCCGTGCAGTTCGAGCCAACCTTGGAGGTGAAGGTGGCGACCGATGGTAGTACGGAGTACACCATCAGCGGACTGGTGCGGGCCTCCTTCGATGCCTTCGTCTCGGCGGAAGGCAGCTGCGCCGTGAGGGCGGAGAGGAGATTCCCCACGAAGCCCAAGAAGAAGGTCATCTGCGGCTCGAACTTCTGCCTCGTGCTCCTGCTTCAGATGCTTGCCGAGGTGGAGATCCAAGGCTCCCTCACGGGAACCGTTGATGCGGGAGCCGCTGTCGATGTCGACATCCTGGGCACGGTGACCGTCAACCCCAACGGCCACGCCGACGCAAAGTTCGAGACCCCGACGATCTGGCACCAGGAAGGGAAGGGAGCAGTGAACATCACTGAGCCGTTCCTCGCACGCGTTGCGGGGTTTTACGTTCTGTGTGTGGGGCATGGGACACGTCTTAGGTGGGTGCGGTGGGGGGTGGGACGGAGTAGGAACTGGCCGCGTGGTTAGGCGGCTGGCGTCTTCAGTTCATGAATCCTTCGAAAAAGTCGGGCTGATTGTAAGCAAGAGCTCTCTCAGTGGGCGACCCTTCCTGGGCCCGAAACGGGGGAGTCGGCTGTGGGAGGCAACTCGCCATTAGTCAGCGTTGTTCCGCAAAACCAGCCTTGACACGTCGTGGCAGGAAGGCTTCGCAATTGGGGCGAGTGCCAGAGCGTCCGTGCGCATTGGCACAGGGCCGGTCTTCACGGCTCCAAGCTCAGCCCGTGTAGAGAAGTTTCGTCGTCCCCACTCGGAGTGCAACGTGGCATAGCGTGGCATGGCTAAGGTTTGGCCCATGCCCGGCGTGCCGGTTACCTTCAACCCCATGTTCCATGCTGAAGCAAAAGCTGAGGGCACGTTAAGCTTCCAAGCTGGCAGCTCACAAGTCCTGGACGGCGCCTCTTCTCAGCCGAACCAGCTCCAGATGTGCGGAGCAGCCGCCAGAAGCCTAGATTTCCTGCCCTCGCGGTTCATACGTGCTGTCATGAGCCTCCCCAGCGCTTCGATTTTGAAAAGGCCCTCCCCCCAAACAATGTCTCAGGCGCTGAACGTCTACTCGGACGTCGGCATCTCGGCCTTCGCCTTGCCCGTTACTTTCCAGGGGGAGTTCGACACCGCGCTGCTGCAGACCGCCATCAAGGACGCCGTGCTGGCTGGGAAGATCCGGGCAACTGGGTGGCCGAGATCGATGCGGCCGCCAACGCCGCCGGAGACTTCCTGGCTGGCCTCATCCCTTCCCTGAGCCTGGACTTCTCGGCCAGTGCGATTGAGGTCCTGGTGCCCGAGAAGATCTTCTGCGAGACGCCGCTGAAGACGCCGGGCTTCGACGGCGCCCCCTGCGCGGTGGAGCTCGGGTGCCAGCAATCTGGGAGGAGCCCCGAGCCTGACCACCAGGTCCCGCCAGCAGCGCAGGTCACAACGAGCATCACCCGGAATGCGGTGGCGGGCGCGTGCCACGACATTCCCATGGGAGATCGGTTCATTCAGCTTGGTGATTGGCGCTTGGCAGACATCGACGGAACACACTTCTCGATCTCGCACAAGGATCTCGGCTTTGTAAGCAATTGTAAGCAATTGTAAGCAATTGTAAGCAATTGTAAGCACTGCTGCACAAGCACGTGCCAAGGCAGTTTGAGGGTGTGCTTGAACACAGAATCTACACATCAGGATGGTTGGACGGCCCAAGTCTACAAGAGCGACGGCACTCTCCACCCTCAGATGTGGCAACTGTGGGGTTCGTGGCACAGGAGCCTGGGCAACTGTCGTGTGTGCGCAGCTCCTTGGTAGGTTGGAGTGGCCCTCGCTTGATGTCAGGCCCATCGGACCGTCGAAGGGAATCAGATTCGGCTTTCAGTTTATCGAGATCGGCCAATTCCGCCTTGGCGCCGTTGACGATAACCTCTTCTCAATTTCGTGCCTGCAGCCGCAACAGTATCAGTTTGCAAGAGATCGAGAGTAAATTGTGTGTGCCCCTTTCCTCATATGAGGTGGGTGTAAGACCATGCCTGAGCAGGCAGTTTTCCTTTGGGATGTGCAGTCACGGGAGAGTTCTTGGAGGTTCAGGGTACTTATTAACCAATGATAACTGTACTTATTGCTGTACTTTCTTACAACCCTATTAGGGCACTTAAGGGGCCTGTAAGTGGGTGATAAGTACAGTTATACTGGGTTAATAGGTACCATGAACCTCCAAGAAGGGTGCTGTTTTGAACAGGACTCGCCTTTTGAAAGGAGTGCTTTGAGGCGCGGTAGGGCGGTTTGGAGCTCCAGGCTCTGTTGTTTATGACGGGACTGGAGTCTGGAAGCTGCTCCCCCCCCCTGAATCATGTGAGTTCAGAGGCGACTTCCTTGAAAGAATCCTTGACAAGCCCCAATGTGACACACACACGCAGACACAGACACAAGATCAGCCACGTGGTAAAGCAACCATCTTGGCTACCAGGTTTCTCAATCCAAAGCAGCTTTGAGTTGGGGTCAAGGCTCGCGAGACTGCTTCAATAAAATTTCAAGGCGCTTGAAGTTTATGTACTAATCATAATGCATGATATATAATCCATATATATATATATATATATTCCATATATATATATATATATGCTACCCCCCCCTCCCGGGACCTACCTTTTCGAGTGTTGTTGGTTAATTTTTCTGAAGTTCTAATCCATCAAGTTGAATTACAAACGAAGTTCGGATGAGAATGTCTCAGGGTGTGGCCTTAGAACTTAAAATTCCAAATAAATTTCTATGCGAATAGGGGGACAGAGGAGGATGTGATACCGTGTGGTCTTTAATATACGGTTAACTAAGTTAACTAGATGTATTTCCCATACCAAGGATGTCTTGGGCTGTGGCCAGTTAATGTACTTGTTAAAATTCGGTTTACTCACAAACAGAGCCCAGACGATAATTTCCTAGTGCGTGGCCTGCTTTTCTCAGCTCATTTTTTCAATAACTTACGAAGCAAGCCCAGATGAGGGGGTTTCAGGCTGTGACCTCTGAATATAGGATCTAATGACATCTTGTTTTGTCAGGCACCGTAAGAGGATTGCAGAAGGTGTGCAATTTAAATTTAAACATCGAAGCCAACCCACATGCGAACGAGGCCCAGAGGAGGATTGGACAGGGTAGTCTTAGAATTCATTTTTTCTATTAATATTACGAACGAGGCCAGAAGACTTCTCAGAGGAAGTTCACTTAAGGTGTAGGCTGTTATTAGCAATTTGGTTTACATATGAATTTGAAGCCCAACAGGTTCTTATCAGACGTTAAGCTGAACGACTTCCAAATGACAACGTTTTAGGGTATGACCCTTTAATGTGAAATTCAAATAGTACGGACTTGATACCCGGTTGCTTTGGACTGCGGGAAACATTAAGGGTGGTGAGCGGGATAGGATAATTGCTCACAGTATTCTCACGTCCCCCACACTTATTGTAAATGACTTTTCGCATCACCCTATGCACTCGAATACTTCCTAGTCTTATGATTTTGAGGATTATGGCGCCCAGAGCCTCTCTCCTTAGACGAATTGCCCCCCAGGGGATACTTTAAAGTACATTAAAGTGGCCCTGGATCCAAGATCCAAGATCCAAGATGCCAAAAAAAACTTTTTGGGGAATCTTGGATCTTGGATCTTGGATCCAGGGCCACTTTAAAGTACTTTAAAGTGGCCCCCGGGGGCCCCGGGAGACAAAGTACAGGGACACCGTTTGTACTTAGACGATTTGGGCCCCCAGAGGGCACTTTAAAGTACTTTAAAGTGCCCCCCGGGGGCCCCGAGAGACAAAGTAAAGGGCACCATTTAGACGATTTGGGCCCCCAGGGGCCACTTTAAAGTACTTTAAAGTGGTCCTGGATCCAAGATCCAAGATCCACGATTCTAAAAAAACTTTTTGGGGAATCTTGGATCTTGGATCTTGGATCCAAGGGGCATTTGAAATTGCCCCCTCCAGGAGCCTCATTAATATTATATTATATATTTTTTTATCTCTCCCAAACCCCACGAGACCAACCTGAGCAATACCAGCTTTAAAAAAGGTAGGTACCGGGAGGGGGGGGGCACCATATATATATATATATATACATATATATAATCCATATGCGGATGTGTAGGGGGAAGATTTCTTGGAGTGATGATTTGAACCCGTCGCTCCCGATCACATGGCTAAAGGGAAGGCTGCGAGACATGTACAAACCCTTGGGCCAGATGTTGTTGCACAGTTGTATAGCATGAAGCAACACCACATGTGAAGCAAACAGCTTTCAGATCTTGTTGTTGAGCGGAAAAACCAACGTGTGCCGTGCCGCTTCATGGGTGTCTGGTCAATTTGCTGGCTGGAACGATACAGAGAAGATTAGCATGGCCCTCCAGCAGCACAGTCAGGATGCAAGCCTGGAACAGCAGGTTATGAGCGTCCAAGGCTCAGCTGCGCGGAGCTCCGCTGTTATGGTGAATGGCACCAATGATACCAATGGGTATGGTGCTACGAATTCGAGCCCGATCCCCCCGCCGCCTCGAGACGATGAACAACAAGTTCCAGCTTCGGGATCGGGGATGGCCAGTGGACCAGGGCGACTTGCAGATGTTAGTGAAGATGATGCTGGCGGAAGGCCAGCCGTGGGTCCACAAGTGGCGGCAGCGCATCGGCAGGTAGAACCAACAAATTGTTCTGTGGACTTTGACGCTGCCCACGCGGAGACGGCTGGATATTCCGGTGCAGAGTACTTCACGCCAAGGTCTCGATCGTCGGCCGTGCAGTGGGGACCAATGTCTCAGATTGATGCATGGCCGGCAGGATGGTCGTGGCTGTCAAGAGTGGGGGCGAGGATTATGGGAGCCATGAATGCCAGCGAGCTGGTGCCGAGTCCAATGGCTACTCCTCCTCGTCACCAGAGTGCGCCGTCGGTTGGCTCGACACCGCCGAGACCAAGGATGGGGGGACCTTCGACCACACCCCCAGCATCGTCGAGTGGATTGTCAGCAGAAGCGGTGCAAGCGGAAGTTCAGAGACAGCTGGGCCCGCTAATGGAGCGGCTGGAATGGGCTGAGCAACGGAACAACCTTCTGGAAGGCCAACTGAGGCAGCAGACCGCGAAGGGCCCCGCTGTCGCAACAAAGTCAGTGCATGAGACTGATCGCCGAGAACCCCGTGTAGGATATCAAGAATGGCGAGGGCATTTAGGACTACCTCGAGCGGATGGTCCACCTGCGCCAGGCCTTCCACGTAGCGAACATGTAGGTTCAGGAGGGCTACGGGGTGATCATGATGCAGCCACAGCAGCTGCTCTTCCTGAATCTCGAGGTTACCCACGCGCTGAGCATCAAGGTCCAGGACAACAGAGGAGCCTGACGTCGGTAGCAGAGGACATTCCAGAGATAATAGGCCTTCCACGTGATGAACAGGTAGGTTCAGGAGGGCTACGGGGTGATCATGATAGTGCCGCAGAAGGTTTTAACGAATCTCGAGGGCAACTCCACGCTGGGCTGTCGGGCTATAAGTCGGGCTTGATTGGACAGGCTCAAGAAACGCTTCATGAGGGTGAAGTAGCAGGGCAACATGCACACCGGAGCACGGGAGACATTGGATCTGCAGGTGGCCAGGGGCTTCTTGGATCGTTGTTTGCGAGGTCAAGGGGCCGTACACCTTCTCCGCCGCCCGAAGGTTCAACCTTATCTTCCGCCCCGGTGATTGAAGCCATCGCTCGTGGAGTGCGTCAACTTCAAGAACTACAAGAACAACGCATGCAGGGGCCTAATGGAGGAACGTCGCCAGGAGGAGCTGAGAATGTCAAGCCGGGTTTGCAGGCTTTGCTGGCTCTTGAAGCCCCAGGTGGAAAGGAGTCGGCGCTGATGTTCCAGGACTGGATGGAAGTGATCTCCACCGGGATGAAGGACCTGAGCGAAAATAGTGGAGCATGGTGGGAGGCGGTGTTGCGCACTGTGGAGGAGGCCTATGGGAGATGGCTTGGGGCTACTCAGCTTGAGCGTCTGGCCATTCAGCCGGTGAATGCTGACTACGCCGTGAAAGGGCGTTGGACCCGGGTGAATGCTCGAGCGTGTCAGCTGCTCCTCAACGCAGTGCCGGATCAGGTGCGAACGGACCTCATCGCAAGGAGGGCAACCCAGGAGGTGACGCAGTTGGTCTTCAGGTTGTTTGTGCTGTATCAACCGGGAGGATCTTCGGAGCGGGGTTACACCCTGATGCAACTGCAGAACCCCCCAGTGGGCAACAATGTCACCGAAGTCCTGGACATCCTGCGGAGTTGGCCTCGACACCTACGGCGGTGTCAACAGCTGGGCATGAGTACCCCAGATCCTACAGTCCTGGCAAAGGGCCTGGACACGGCCTCGTCGCGGGTGATCAGCGCCAGCCCGGATGTTCAGTTCCGCACACAGCTGGTGAGAACGTCACTCCGTTTGGACGCCAAGCCTTCGTTGACCAACGTGCAGGACTACCAGCGACACCTGCAAGCGGAGGTGGAGCAGTTGGCTACGACAGCGGGCGTGGAAAATACGGCAAAGATTAGGTCCACTACAACCTCCCAACCTCAGCAGCAAGGGAGCCCTGCCAACACGCCGACAGCAGCATCGCCAACGGGCAAGGACACCACAGGGGAAACGCTCTGTCGCTTCTTCGCCAAGGCCAATGGTTGTCGGCGAGGTGAGCGGTGTCCATTCAAGCACGACATGGGGGCATTCCCGAAGGACCTGAGATTGAAGAAGTGCCTAGCATGTGGAGCGGAGGGACACCGAGCACGGGAATGTCCGACAAAGAACAACGTCAAGAAAGGACATGGCAAGCGTGAAGAAGGCCCGGAACGCAACCAGCAACAGCAAGCACCAAAGGTAGCCGAGATGCAGGCCAGCGGGAGTGTGTCAGGGGCGTCATCCACTACGACTGCAGCAGGAACCATGGGATCGCTACCGTCAACGACGCTGCCATCTACAACGTCCGGGGA